ACAAATAATCGACTTAAAATCGATCGTTTTGTAGCAAAACCATATGCTTGTAAAATACCAAAGTAAGCATCATATTTGCAAGAAAAAACAGTTATTCATCATGTCTTTCAACTATAGCATCATAAAGCTCAGTTTGCTGTATTATTTATGGTAAAAATCCATGACTTTTCCAAGTATAATGGTATTCTTCTCGGGATTTTATAATATGATCATTTCAAAACCTTATAACAAACACGGTTATTAATTTAATTAGCATAAAAATTGTCATATCATTATCTTGACACTTACCAATCGAACATAAATTTTATACAGTGTTTCTGGCCAATGAAACGTAGAATCTTCCATCATACTCACATTGTAACCCATGTCTCTGAAGTATTTGGCTATGGTAATTCATGAAAGTAACATTAAGTTAATTAGAATCATAAACACCAAATTTGTTACTTTAAGAATTCATTTTACCTATATAAATTGAAGCCTCAGTTTGAAAGTAGCAACAACAACAGGCATGTTAGAAGTGTTCGCCACAAGTGTTGTATGTTTCATCACAGACTCTTCACGCCGCTCAGGTAATGTCATTGTAAATTGAGGAAAGTCCATTCGCACAGTTTGTATAAATAATAATAATTGTCAGCATCAGGTAATGTCATTGTTAAGTGTTATTACTCCCTTTAAAAAGTTGAATGATTTAAAAATTAAGTTTTTTTAGGAAGACAATGATTTTATTATTGACCAACAACAACATTAGTTTGCTTAGGGCCATAAATGCATGGTTAACACAGGGAGTAGCTTGCATCCCATGTCCTACACCTACCATCATCAAATAACCTGTATATTTCATATCCAAAACATATCTCAAATATATTTATTTAATTGATATAAACACAAAAACATTAAAGAAAGATAGATGGACTTATGATAAAAGCTGGAAAACAGAACTATGCCTTGGATAAACATAATGGCAAAAGCAACACCTACATGTCCCTTCAAAATAGAAATAGGCATCCTATCTCCACAATTTATACACATACCTTCCCTACACTTATACCAAAATGAAGATATTCAATTGTATCAGCAACAAATTGCACACCCACAAAGCTTTTAGGGTCTATTGCAACCTGATAATTTAACAAAAAAGAATCTATTAAAAATTGTACTTTTTCAATAAAGATGTTGAAAAGTTATAAAAAATTAAACTTTTAGCCTTCCCACATTGAAAAGATGAACCAAATTATCAAGATGTTGTTGCCACAAGTGAGGGTATTGCACGATCTAAAGTAGCATCAAACATATCGAATATTAAAGACAATGAAAAAGAGACTCCTGGAAACAAGTCATAGAAAATAGAGAACTGTAAGATCCATTCACTATAGAATAAACAAACACATCAGGCTTCATGTGCCTAATAAACCTTAAGAATGCCATGTCAAGGATTGCTCTCCATAACTCTATGAGGAAGATGACAGATTAGGGAAATCAAGAAGTTCAAACCTTTGAGCCCTAGAAATCATACAAGCTATGTGAATGATGGTCACCTTGGAGTAAGAACCCATTGCGTTTCTTTTTCCCTAATTGCCACCTTTCTTAGCTCACACCCAAATGCATAAAAGTTAGGGCATATGTTGCTTCATCTTCTTTGTCGGCTTTGGTGGTGAGATTTGGAGGCGGTGGATGTGGATGAGGGATGTGTAGATGGAGGCATGGATGGAAGGGAGATATTAGAGAACAAAATAAAGAGACAAGAGGGGAGAGAAGAGAGTTGATTTTTTTTTTTACTTTTTTGTTCCCCTCCTCCCTATTTTCCTATTCCGGTGATACCTATGAAATGTTCTCTATTTTATTAAGGTCGTCAGAGAAAGAGAATAAGTGAGCCTGAGGTTATCGATTGGCGACGGATCGATTGTAGAGAGAACATAACGAGTGATTGAGTATTTCAAGTGTTCTGCAAAAAAAGCCCATGAAATTAATACTCCCTGCGATTTTGTGAGAGAAAATGTGCGTTTGAGATAAAATTATAAAACGACATTTGAAGAGGACACACACTTAAGATAAAAGCGCCCTCCGTGTTTGTAATTTATTTTATTAGACACTAATTTTAGGGCACACATAAATGCGTGTTCTCTATCTTTTAAATTTTGCAAATCTGACATTATTTTTAGGGCACACAAGAATGCGTATCATAAATCGGTGCGTGTCATTGTTTGCGCATCATTAAAGAGCTGTTTTCTTGTAGTACTTACAAGGCATGGAGAAATAATAAACAATTTAACACTCCAACTAGCCATATCTGTAATCATGTTAATCTCGGCTTGTAAGAAGCATGGTAAGTGCAATAAACAAAATCATAAAGTGATCTTGTCTCTAAGACCTCAAAATTTTGGTCATGCTTGACAAGATACAATATATGGAGTATATTACACATTTGTTCATGATTAAATGTTACATTTATACATATACAAACTTTATATAAAAGCCTATCATTTATATAAAGTGAGTCTAACACACACACACACACACACACACACACATATATATATATATACATATATCATTTATATAAAACTACATCTTATATAAATAAACTCTAACTAGTTTAAGATATAAGTATAACTTATAAATAATCATACTTTATGATATATTTTATAAGGTCTTGTTTCTCCAATAAATATTATTTCCATAAATAATAAATTCAAAATTAGTAAAACATTATTTCCACAAAATAATAATTTTTCAATTAAATACAAGTGTTGATATATTTATTAATAATTAAATTATACTAATAAATAATCAATTGATGGAAACTTGCTATAAGGTGTGACCCTACAGGATCATATGTTATTAGCAATATCATTTTATAATGACTCTTGGACATACAAAATCTTTCAATCTCCTATTTGTACAAGACTCATCATAGATTGATATAGATAGTGGTGAACGTCTAGTAACATTTCACTGTCCCCAATAACATATGACGAAGAACGCCATTCATCAATGTCCAATTCCCTAAATCTTAAAGCCTCAATTGATGTATTAAGGTATGCTTATTAATCATCCCTTTTTTATAGACATCCTGATGAATATGAGTCTTGGATCACAATCAATCTCATTTATAATATAACTTTGGGTAACGTGAGTTACATGTCTAACTCTTAACACATAAGAGGAACAAATCCTATCTTGACTACATAAGCCTCTTGTTTAGTTCACACTATACTTGAAAACTATCCGTTTAAGGATCAATGTTTGACCATATCAAAGCATAGTAATCCCTATACTTAAGTCTCACCTTGTGTCTCAGGTGTTAAGGATACAAAGATAGTATCTTTTAATCAAATGTCACTCATGACTGCGATCTATGAGTTGATCTTGATACGGGTCCGTTCAGTACTAGTTCTCTGATAATTACCTTTAAAACTCGGTAATAAATACTTGCCTACTTTCAGCTAGTGAGAGTCAACCAATCTAGTTCTTTCATGACATAGAGTCTCTTAGCTTGATTACTCACGAAGTCACAAAGATTTCTTTACCAAAAAATGTCAATTTTTTGAATTAAAAAGAAAACCTCGATCATTCACAAATTAAGTGAAATTTATATATGAATCGAAATATATTTCCATATAGTTTTATAATATTTTAACGTTTTAACTATTCGTAAATTAATTTTGTAAAATCAACAAATGAATTTATTAACATTGTGAATCTGAACTGTATATAACTACTTTTCAGAATTCACAATGTGAATCTGACTTACTATTATTCACATTGTGAATCTAAACTGAAATTTCGTTTTTTTTAAATCAATATGAATTTATGTTTAAAGAGTACAAACAAAATAAATATGAATTTGATATATTTATTAATTCTTTTTGAGAAAAAATAGACCTTAACTTTTCAAAATACAATGACCATGAAGTGAGTTTTTTGAAAAAAAAAAAACAAAAAACTCATTTTTATATATCAATATAAATCTCTATAAAAAGAAGACGAGCGGTATATTAGTTTTTTTTTTTTTTTTTTTTTTGATGAAAAACAAGGCTTAAAAAAATTAAATTAAAAAAAAGTGAGTTTTGTTATAATTCGATGTATGTGTACATTATAAAAATCTATAACTTTTCATTTTGCCGTTGATCGTTTTAAATTCTAACGTTTTGAATTGGTTACTTTGTTAACAATACTTCTTTATTGAACTTTTTTTTTCTCTTTCTTTCTCTCTCTCTCTCTCTATATATATATATATATATATATATATATATATATATATATATATATATATATATATATATATATATATATATATATATATATATATATATTGAAAATTTGGAATTATTCTTCGGATTTCCAAGCTTCTTATTTGATATCCGGAATTTCGGTCTGGAATCGGGATTGAAATTGAAATGTTTTTCTAAGAAAAAATAAAATATTTTTTGGTTGCTAGGAATGATTGATTCCAGACTTATTGATCATTTACACATAAATTATATTTTTCTTAATATTAATTTAAAGTATGGTTAATTTTAATATCCCTATAATCATATCTAAAATCCAAAACAGAATTAATAAATATCTATTACAGATTTAATTGGTCCTTTTTGTTTGATCTATTAACTAAAAACTGATAACTGTTTCATCATTTTCATTTTGCTTTCTTACTAACATCCACATAACCAAACAAATTCAAACCGGAAAATGGAAGTTTAGCAGATCATAAATTAACAAACAATTTTAGTAGCTTACAACGATTTTTGGATCTTCAACGGCGTGGATCATGCATGTCAATCTCACCTCAGTGTTTAAATGTGTTTAAAGGTTCTTCTAAATTTAAATGTGTGATAACTGTTGATTCGTTGATTTAATCTACTTAAGTGTGGTGATTCACAAAGTTTTTTATATCTAACCCAAGATGCATCTGGTGGAGTAAGTGGATCTCTATAATTTTTTTACCCATTTGGCCATTTATACTGACCCTACTCCAAGATTCCAATCCTAATTCTTTTACAATGTCCTCTTGGTCGGATCTTCTGCCGGAAATTCTAAATAAGATCGCCGGAAAGTTCGAATTTTATGAAGATCTCATCAGTTTTCTTTGTGTTTGTAGTTCATGGAGATCTTCTGCCTCCACAACTAAAAAGTTAATACCGCATCTTCCTTCTCGCTTTCCATTGTTGATGCTTGCAGAGTCCAATACCCAAGAAGACGATCATCAAGATTGCTATAAGTTTTTTCTTCTTTCCAGCGGCACTATGCGTAAGATGCAACTACCTGAGGCTCGCTGGCAGCGATGTATATCAACCCATGGGTGGTTGCTGACCACCGGTGAAGAAGAGTTCTCCGCCAAGCTCCTCCATCCACTTTCTCGTACTCAAATCGATCTCCCTGAGCTTTATATGTTCGAGGAACTCTACTTTGATCAGGACGAGTGGATTTACTATGGGCAAAGCATGAGGAAAGTAGTTTTTACGTCATCGAACCCTTTGTTATTGGATCCTGACTTTCGTGTTATTATCATCTGGGGCCAAACTATAGGGTTTTGCAGGCTTGGTGACGTTTCATGGACTCGTATAGCAGGTTGCGATGGACATCTTCTCGACATCACGTATCATAACTTGCGAAAACGGCAATACACAGTGACAACCGTCGGATCAATCTATGAATGTGACATTCTTAGCGGTGGACCAGGTCGTTTAACTTTGAAGCAATTGTCAACATTACCACAACCAGAATTCGATTTTTCGTACCACCAATCAGCGTATCTTCTCGAATGGGGATATGACAGGTTGCTAATGGTAACACGTGAACATCAGTGGTACAAGAAACATGGTGATGAGTTTCTTCGTTATGGACCTTATAGCACTAAGAGGTTTCAATGCTTTGTGTTCAGTTTGGATGATGAAAAGTGGTCGAAACTCCTCAGTTTTGGGAGACAAAGCTGTGTTTTTGGGTTTCAATTCATCATTCGCCATTGATGCAGCTGGTGGCATAAAGCCCGATTGTATCTACTTCACTGACGATCTTTATGAGCCATACCGTGATCTGGCTGATGGAGGTGGAGGGGATGTTGGAGTTTATCATATGTCTGATGGTAGCATCGGAGCCATTATGGATGCACAACAACACTTGTTCCGTGGTCGTCCTCCTTTGTGGCTTCAAACAAGCACCATCCCATGCGATTGAACAAATTTGATTGTCTTACATGGCTTTTAATCTATCTATATATGTGCACTACTACAAAAGGCTTACAACCGGATCATATAAGTGTAACAAAACCCGGTTCCTATATTTAAAACCGTTTTTTATTTTCTGCGGCTACATAATCCGATTTTTATGCATAAACCAATTTCTATTACAAAACCCAATGGACAATGGTCTCTTTAGTGTTTTTAATAATTTTGAATTATTTTTTATTACTTCTAAAAACCAAGCTTCTATAAACCGAGCACCAAGATGCTTATCAAACATGAATTCTCAAAAAACCACACTTTAGTATGGATGAAATATTTTGTAAATGTGTACAATAACACAAGTACACAACCATAATATCAAAAAACCATAATAGGCATCAATCAATAAAAACAATATCAAAGAAAGAACATATATATATATATATATATATAGATAGAGAGAGAGAGAGAGGTAGATTCAAATGTTTTTCACATCTATTGTGTGCTAGAATGCACCAATAGGAATTTAATATTAATTATATGTATATTAAATGTTATCCATATTATAACTTATTTTTATAGAAACTAATTAAATTCGTTATTAATGTCAACAATAATATTATTTCAGAATAAATTCATATGTAGAAGAATAAGAGTATATTGCAGCAGAATAAGAGTCGTTCTTTATATTCCATATAACTTTATTGTATTCTAAGTGATTGAGTTTTGAAACAAAGTACGAACTCATATATAAAAACGTAGATGCAAATTAATTATGAGAGAATGTTGTTGCTGACATTAACGACAAATTTAATTAGTTTTCATAAAAAGAGAATTATATTTATGGATATCATTTAATATATATATATATATATATATATATATATATATATATATATATATATATATATATATATATATATATATATATATATATATATATGGAAATCATTTAATATATATAATTATTTAATTTACTAAATTTCTATTGGTACATTGTAGCATACAATAAATGTAAAAAATAAAATAAACTAGCCATATATATATATATATATATATATATATATATATATATATATATATATATATATATATATATATATATATATATATATATATATATATATAGGTAGCATGGGGCTTTGAGGGAAGGCAAAGTAGGTAGCTGTTGTACAAGGCTTAATTTTTTTTTATTATATAGTTTTATTTAAAATTAAAAATTATAATAAAGATAAGGGTTTTTTTCTTCTTGTTCATTCTGGACTTTCAAAAATATTTAATTTTTCAGGACCGATCCTGATTAGGAGTTGGGACCATAGATATTTCATGCTTCTAGACTATCAGACTCAATAAAACTATTGGGTATGGGCAACGTCCATTTGAGCGTTATAACACATAAACACCGCCCCCCTTCACGGTTATTGGGCGTTATACGCCTACATGGTGCATTCCGTTACCACCATCACCTTTCATTAACGCCGTTCTTTTTTGTCTTTTTTTCAAAAACGCCGGTATGGGTTGCCCATGTCTAGTAGCCTAATGCACTATATTTGTTCAAATAACATATATTTATAAAACAAAAAATAAAAAAATAATTTTATTTATTTATTTAAAGAACTCACATCCATAGAAACTAAAACTTGCAAACATTACCTAAAACATCGATATGCTGTAGAGTATAGAACTCAATAACACACAATATTTGTTCGAATAACATACATTTAAAAATAAATAAATAAAGAAGACATTTTGTTTAAAGAACTCAGGGCCATAGATTATGCTAACTATTTTATTCTCTATCTAGTCTGGTAGCCCATATAACTTCCACAATTTTAATTTATAACAACTTCATGCCATTAAGAAGACTTTATATTAGTACAAAAAATACATTATTTAGTACATACAATAAATGCCACTAAAAATCCCAAAATGTCATAATAAGTATCACTATAAACATTCCCAAGCCGGTATTGATATTTCGGAAACCTTGTGCAAAATCTAAAGTGAAGCCCCATAAAAAATTTCTTGTAAATATTATTAACTACATTTGTTACTCCTAATTCAAAACATAAAGTTGTTAAAAAACATCTCATAAATACACTACCACAAAATAATATCTTCACTCATTGGTAATCAAATAAAACTGTAAAACTGTTATAAAGAACTTTCAAAAAAAGGAACACATTATTATTTTCTAAACATCGATATTGTAGCATTTTTAGAAGAAATTCATCTATGAGACTTTCATCTATGAGATTTTTTCTTACTTTTTGGTGAGTTTATAAAAATAAAAACATTATCTAAAATTTATAAAGAAAACAGATTTGCATTTTTTTTTGATATAGATATTTTCCTTAAATTGTTGATAAAATTTAAATTTATGATTAGATTTTGATTTTTGTTGATTTTTTTTTTCATAATTAAAATGCATCTAAAATTGGAACCAAATATTAACAGGCTAATTTTATTTATTGATAAAACATAAAAATAGATTTCACAAAAATACCAATACTATAACTATAAATTATCCCAAAAATCATAGGCCCCTTAAGATTGGAGGCCCGGTACGACCGCACCGTCGACACCACCCCAGGGCCGCCACTGAACACTCCCACTAAAAACCTTTAGTGACAATTAGTGCTTTTGTCGCTGCAGTTTTTTAGACTTTTAGTGACACATTTTTATTTTCCACAATAGAAGAAAAGCTTTTTGTAACATATATTTTTTTGCCATTAAATGATCATTTTGATTAAAGAATTCATATTACTTTTAGTTACACCTTTTAAGATTTTAGTGACATTTTTTATTTGCAACAATACAAAAAATATTTTGTGGCACATTTGAACTAGTAAATAATCATTAGATTCTATTATTTATACTATTTATATCGACAAATTTTTTATTTATAATATAAAATAAAGTAGATATTTAAATAGCAACACCTAGAAAATAATAAAAGTTTATTGCATCGGATGAAACAAAAAACATTTTTTAATGGAATAAACCATTTTATTCCTTTCACAATTCTATTATAACAAACAATCACTACCTACACTGAAAATTAAACATTTTTCCATCATTGCAAACAACTAGATATTTAATAATAAGTTGTTTGACTTTCTAAGCCTTAATGTTCATTATGTATCTTTGCAACGTTTAAATCCAATTTAACTTTTTCACTTGTTGTCTGCCATCATAACTCAACAAGGTAAAAAATGAGTTATTATACCTTGGTTGTTGAGTTTGTATTTTTTTCAATATCCTAATAAAAGCCTTTTTCATAAATGTTAAAGAAAATTCTCATCTAGAAAACCAAGATACATTTATTTGTCAAGAGTTTGAAGAAAGTAAGACACAATTATAGTAAGTCTATAATAAGAACATTAAATTTCATATTTGGTCTTTGTGGAATTTTATTTTTTTTAATTTTGGTCTTTACCTGTGGTTTTTGTAACATTTTGTCCCTAGTCCAAGTGAAACGATTATTTTTGGAACCAAGATTGCAAAAACTACCTATAATTGATTGAAGACCGAAAATAAGCATTTTGCTTGGAAGCACAAGGACCAAAACCGTTACAAGAACCAAAAATAAGGACCAAAACTGTTGCAATAACCACAAGTAAGGACCAAAACCGTTACAAGAATCAGCAATACTTAGGGACCTAAAATATAATTTATCCTCCACCTCTAGTGTTAATATAAACACACCTTAAATCAACTCAATCCATCAAGAACAACTGTGTATGTAACCTTACCACTTGGTTTCTTAACTCCTTCTGGTAGATGCAATGCATGAGAGACAACACCCCTCGTATTTAAACATAATGACACATTTTTTTAATCATAAATTACCCATAAAATAACTATATTTGATAGAATATACCTTGTATGCTAGTCGAGTTCTTGGTGAATTTTCCCATCAAGCTTGTGAGAATCTGATAAATCTTGTTGATTTTTGGAGCTTCTATCACCCAAATCATCCCCAATACTCGACAGTGTCAATGTCACTTTTTAGAACATTACTAGGGTGCTTTGAGTTCCCAAACAAATGTCCATGTCTGTTTGATAGCATTCTTGACATCATTTGAACCAAATCATCCAGACTCCATAATCCAACAAAAGCATACTCAAAGCTTGGCAATGTCATATTTACTTACAAGAAACCTGCTCCCATACAAATAAGATAACTAAATTACCAAAATACCCCTATACTTGTCCAGTTACCAAAAAAATCATCTTAAGTTGAAATTTTCCAAAACTAATGAAATCAACAATATTTACCTCTTGAGTACATTAGGTTTTGCAAGCCCCTGCTAAACTTTCTTAGTTCCAGTTAAATGATAAGAGATTGAAGGACACTTGGTAGTTAAGGATTCCTCCATAAATAAAATATCTACTCACAAATTCATAAGGGCGGTCGTTAGGTGCATATCTATCTCTACAACATATAATCACAATAGTTTCACCATCCTTACAACTAATTGAATGCATCAATATATGATAGCAACTCTTATCCAAATTCTTTTTGAGAGAATCCTATATTCTAGTTTTGTAATTATAAATGATTGGATCGACTTATTTTTTGAAGAGTATGGAAATTAATTTTGATTATGGATGAAATCTTACATCATGATTGTTAAGGCTAGGATCCTAGAACCGCTATAGGATCGTCAAGTTAAGGATCCTAAACTACTCAGGATCTCGAATATATTCCAGATCCTGACTAATATTTTCATTATTATTTATAACTAACATATATTTTTCTATTTCTCACATGTGCAGAAATAACTTGTCAAAGTCATATAGTCAACGGATAGTCATCACAACTATGAAAAAGACCCAGAGGACTAAGTCAAGCAAACGACTATAAGTAATCTCGAAGGATCCCGAAATTCCCAGAATTCTAGTTGTTAGGGTTTGACTATATAAAACATATGTAATCATCACACTACACATGATTTTCTGGCAGAATACTATCACTTGTACTCATACTAATTCCCTTTTTCTCTATAA